AATTCAAATTTTTACAACATAGGATATTCACTCGATTTCTCATGTAGCGAATTCTTTATTTTGTTTTAATTCAAAAACCAATAACTATAGATACATGAAAATTTCACCAAATATTTAAATTAGCATTTCCTATACACCATACAACTTTGAAAATATTTTGACTCTTTTTGAGCTGTTTACGGACAATTACAGTTTTCAATTTTTTTTAATTTTTTTTTTCTATAAATATCAAAAAAGTTTGGGCCAAAAAGTGTAAAAATTTAGTACAAGGCTCCTGATATATTGTTACATTATCAGTTGAAAAATATTAAAAATACATATGCACAATTTTTTTTTATAAGCATTTAAAGATCGAATTTTGACAAAATTTATCAAATTTAAAATTGAATAATTATTTTGTAGTTAAAAATGTATAAAATGTTCAACTTTTATATCTAAGGATTGAAAATTTAAAACAAGATTCCACGTAAGTAGTTAATTCTGTTACCCAAAAATCTAAAAAATACATTTGCAAATTTTATTTTTATAGCCATTTTAAGTTCAAATTTGGACGAAATTACATAATAAAAAACCTAGAATAACTAGTTTAGTTATTTCGTTGTGATTCTATAATATTGTTGGTGGGTACTTGAAACTTCTAAAGTACACTATTATATATCTATGATAGTATCAGGGATTGTTGTTGATGTATAACGTGTTATAAGTACCTAATGGATATTGTAGTATGATTAATTTGGAATTTATTATAGGTACTTATTATAGGTCAACTGTTTTTAATACCATAGATTAGTATATAATATGTCTTATACCTAGACTGACATGCCGTCTCCGCTCAGAATCGTTTTTCTTATACAATGATATTATATCATTAAATTCAAATTTAATACCTTCCATTATACAGTGACCCACTTGTAACCTACTGTACAGCAGAGCACCTTTTTTATGTTTGGTTTCCTGATATTTGATGCTTTATGTTTATATGTGTACATGATTCTAATCACTATAAGTACTTTACATTTAAAAAATAATCGTAATAGTATAATACAGCTATATTCAAAATTTGGTCCTAGATAAATGTAAATTATGTTAAATAGGATTACGACGACGATTGTTTATATAGTTATATATCACGTAATATATTATATAATATTTTGTTTATTTATTACTTTCATAGGCATTTCGTTGTTTTAAACTACCAACTAATTAAATAATGATATAATATTTTTAAGTTATATTTGTTCTCGAACATATTGTAGTGGTCTATTCAACTAGGTAGGTATCTACCATTATTTTTTAAAAGAATAAATGTGATTTTGAAATAAAGCTATTATAATATACTTGCCTAGTTTGAATTATATTTTATACATATTTAAAAAAAAAATAAAATGTATTTATGATTTTATGGATTTTTAAAATTATGATATGGTTTATTTAGCTGGATGTTAAACCTATTGAAAGTAGAATGGCGCAAGGATTTAAAAGAAACACATTTGTATACGACATTAGATGATTACACATCATCATCATTAGGCGATCTAAGATTTTAAAATATGATAAAGGTAAGCAAGGTAAGCTAGGTATGCAATATTATATAATAAATTAAAATAAAATAATATTTTATCAGCAATTATATAATATAATTTTATTTTGCGTATGACTGTTTACCATTTTTCGACTGTTCTGTCGACGAATAAACGAAATAGTAAAGGGCGGAAATGGCGATGCCAAAACAATATCCAAGTAATGGCATATGAGGTCACACTGATTCGTGTGGGCACCAATCGGAGCGCCGTATTCATTTCTTGTGTCAATGCATCGAAGGTACTAGGTGATGCGGTGCATCGAAATCCGCTTGACCGGCGGGTTAAAATAATGCACCGACGTGCAGGTGTTAGGACGGTAAACAGTGAACGAAAAAAAATCCCCGAAAAAAAACGTCCTCGCGAATAAAACCTAATGAAAACGAAAAATTGTACGTACAAATACATAGAGTAATTATTACTCTATGATCAATTAGTATTTTTTTTTTTTTTTTTGAAACTAATTATTAGAGTAATTAGTAATATTATTACTCTCGCACAAGTTTTTCTCGTTGAGGCCCGATAGTTCACGAAAAATAAAGTTACGATGGTATTCAATTGGGTACTTTCAATTACGAAACAAATATTATGTAAATAAAAATTTCAAATTAAATGTTAATGAGCGTTTGAAATTCAAATTTTTAGAACATTGGTTATTCACTCGATATCTCATGTAGCGATTTCCTTATTTTGTTGTAATTCAAAAACGAATAAGTGTAGATACATGGAAATTTCACTAAATGTTAATATTAGCATTTACTATACCCAATACAGTTTTTAAAATATTTTGAATCTTTTTGGGCTGTTTACGGACATTTTAAGTTTTCAATTTTTTTAGTTTTTTTTTCTATAAATATCAATAAAGTTTTTTCTCTTGGGCCAAAAAGTGTACAAATTTAATTCAAGGCTCCTGATATATTGTTACAATATCAGTTGAAAAATATTAAAAATACATAGGCACAGTTTTTTTTTTATAAGCATTTAAAGATCGAATTTTGACAAAATTTATCAAAATCTCGAAAATTATCAATCATTGTAATAAATAAATTATAAAATGTTCAGTTTTTATAGCTAAGGATTGCAAATTTAAAATTAAGTTTCTCATAAATAGTTCATACTGTAACCAAAAAATCTAAAAAATATATGAGCACAGTTATTTTTTACAGACATTTTAAATTCAAATTTGGACGAAATTACATATTAAAAAACCTAGAAATGCTAGAATAACTATTTAAGTTATTTTGTTGTGATTGAATAATATTATTCGTGGGTACTTGAAACTTCTAAAGTATACTACTATAGTACTATCTATCTATGATAGTATCAGGGTTTGTTGTTGGTGTATAACACGTTATAAGTACCTAATGGATATTGTGATATGATTAATTTGGAATTATTATCTTATATGAAATTGAAATGAATTGGATAGATCAATAATTATTCCAAGCACAGTACTTTGCAAGTTGTATTAGTTGTGAATAATATTATAGATTAATAATTAGTGAATCACAAATTGTATTTAGTAAAACAAAAATTTGAGATAACCTATTTTTTTGACGATTTAAACAGTCGCAGAATTCATCAATACATATTTATAATTATTGCTGGGATTTCGATGCACTTTGCATTGTTTTCCTAAGCTTACTGTGCAATGCTCGTCTAGTCACATACTTGTGATATGTACATTTGAATGAGAATAAGAAAGTATATTTTGCATTTTTTGGCATTTTTTAGTTTTTAGGTTATTTTCTTTTTTTTTATGGCATTTTAGAGTATTTGGAGCATTTTTTGAGTTTTTGGAAACCAAGTATGAATTTGAAATTTTATTTTAAGATTTTTACACCAACATGGTTTTTAAATAAATATAACAGATTATAAGTAGGTATTCGTAATTCGTATTATATATTATCGGACAAGGTTTGAGTAACCTCTACCCGCATTTCCTGTTAAATAATCTTAAATCGGTCCGATGATATCGTTCGACGTTCAGTACGAGTTTTGTATACTAAAACTATGTATTGACAGCTTACACTTGTAATAGATTTTTGTAATGTATTTTTTTAAACTTTTTATTGTAATTTATACTAAAATTATTTTTTTTAAAAATGTATAGATCATAAAAGCATTTTTTTTAGGGTATTTTTCGGGGTTTTTTAGGGCATTAAAATCCCAGCCCTATTTATAATACATAATTTATTAATCAAAACTTAAAATTGGTTCAATGCTATAAGTTTAAGTAATTTTGATTATACTTATATTTGGCAATGTTTACACCATGAAGATTAGAGATAAGGAGACCAAACTCCTATAGCCGCTCGTTTATAAAGTGGCCTGACAAAAGTCGCACGGTTATTCTGCCACCCGGAACGCGACGATCGATAGCAGTGCTACGTTTTACAATTATAGCATGTAGTATTATAGGGATTATGTACGTTTTTCGAATTAAACTTGATTTATTATTCCTTACAAATACTTTATGATCTGGATCAGATCCAAAACATATATGTATACAAGAGTAGGGGGATCTCGGTTAAAATTGGTTTCAATAATAAAAATAAAATATATATTATAATAATTAGCTATTAAACACATGGGCATGCCCGGATTAAGACATTTTCAAGGGGCCAACATTTTAAATAAGGCCTCTGTACGAAAAAAAAAAAAAATATATTATTTAATATTAGGTGCACGTTATAATAAATATATATGGGTATTAGCCATTAGGTACATAGCAATAAATAATGAATAATGTATCACTTTATTTATAAATTATAATTTACAAGCTTTTTTCTTCGCTAAATAATCATCGATTTTTTTTAGGTGATTAATGCAGTGTTGTAGCCTATAATGGAAAAAGTAATGGACAAATCTCTGAGGCCCCTTAATAAATTCTAACTATCGAAGCCCGTTGGCCACGGCTCCCTTGGACCACCCCCCCCCCCCCATTAATCCGGGCTTGCACATAGGCATGGATGATTCATACATGATATTTATTATTCATCAAAATATTAAATTTATAAATAGACAATGCATACAATGATAAGGTTTTAAATACTTTTTATTATTATTTTGCTTTGATTATTAGTACCTACATTAGTAAAGTCTCCAAAGGGTTCCAATGTTTCTGGTGGAGATATGATAAATATTCTTTTGAATATTAAAGATATAACCAACACTAATGAACGAGCCCAAAGAATAAATCAAGAACTAGATGACATTTTAGACAAAGGACATTCCGAAAAAATTGAAATTGCACCATATATTCATGATCATGAATATAGTTTGACTGATACATCGAGTTTAGTTTTATCTTACTTAGCTGGATACGTTGCTCGAAAATCAACCAGATTCACAAAATGTCAAAGATGTCTTTTAAGTTAAAAAAATCAAGTTATTTCATCTAGAGACAAACTCATTGATATGCGCTCCAAAGGTTTTTTGATTCGGCCATCAGATAGTCTTTTTGCTCTTATTTCAACTTTAGAAAAAATAACGTTACAGACTTTAGTATCTGAAGAATTAAATGTAAATACAATTTTTTCTATAACTTCAAACTTATGGACGGACACAGCATCTTTCCCATTTGTTGGTTCTGAAGAACACAATATGGGTTTGACAAAAAGTATTGTTCGCTTTTTTATTACAATGCGTATGCATTTTATTGTAAGACGTTCAAACTTCAATGAAACTACAAAAAAAAGGATAAAACCAAGTGTAGTAGAAAGTTGTCAAAACTTTAATTAATGTATTATTTTTATATTTACAATATCTGTATTTTATGTTTCATTTATCATTATTAATTAGACTCATAGACCGTAGTCATTATATAATTATGTGAATTTTAAACTTTTTTTATACCAAACACCTTCTGAACTTTGATTATATATTTAGGTATACTTTAACCTGACCAGGTAATAAATAATAAATCATAATTTATATTTCATTCGAATTCAAAAAAATGAAAAAGAACGTACATTTATAGAAAAGTACGTATAATAAGTGGTAAAACGTAGCACTGCTATCTAACGACTCGCTCCTGGTGGCAGAATAACCGTGTGACTTTTGTCGGGCCATATTTTGTATACGGAGTTTGGTCTCCTTATCTCTAATCTTCATGGTTTACACTTAGGTTGCACTAAATAACAATTTATGAATCAATATATTCATTCAACAAACCTTTATAATATGCTTATACCTACTCAATTAAAATTATTAATTTCATCACTTTCCTCATTTTTTTTTAAAACAAATATTTTTATAGTAATAGTTTGTTGTAACTTGTAAGGTAGATTGTAAGACAACTCAAATGACTATTTTTCGTAGTAAAATTGTTTGGAAACAAGTGATATACTGAACGAAAAACTTAGAAAACATTTAAAATCTTAGGAAATCTGTAATCTATTACACATAAATTTGACTAGTGGTTTACCTTACGTAATAACCAATATACGTAACAAAAATTACTGAACAATTGGCTATAGTTAAAAATACTATTTTTTGTTTTTTCTCTTTGTAACTATAGTAGTTTTGTAATAATGAATTATCAAATAAATATCTTAATATGACATGGAGCAAGATTCCAACCAGCTGGTGTCAATGACAGTGGAATATACGTTTCAGTTATTTCTAATGTCATTGTATCATTAATATTTGTCACTTTAAATGGTGAAGCCGTCGTTCTAATAATGTTATTAACTGTGCCTTCAACATAGCGATTTCCTTATTTTGTTGAAATATAAAAACGAACTGTAGATACATGAAAATTTTACTGAATATATATATTAGCATTTCCTATACACTATATAATTTTGAAAATATTTTGGCTGTTTACGGACATTTACAGCTTTTAATTTTTTTTAGTTTTTTTTTTCTATAAATATCAATACATTTTTATCTGTTGTTCCAAAAAGTGTAAAAATTTAATACAAGGCTCCTGATATATTTTTACAATAGCAATAGATAAATATTAAAAAAATTTAAAATTGAATAATTATTTTATAGTTAAAAATATATAAAATATTCAACTTTTATATGTAAGGATTGAAAATTTAAAACAAGATTCCACGTAAGTAGTTGATTCTGTTACCAAAAAAACTAAAAAATACACAAGCACAGTTTATTTTTATAGTCATTTTAAGTTCAAATTTGGATGAAATTACATATTAAAATCAATATTAATGATTTTAGTTTTTTGTTGTAATTTAAAAATATTATTCGGGGATATATGAAACTAAAAAATCAAAAAAATCAAAGTATTTTGGCCTATCCATACAATCTACCATATTATAAAGCAGCGGTTCCCAAACTGTGCACCGCGGCGCCCTGGTGCGACGCGATGTCTTTTCAGGGGCGCCGCATCGCCGTAGAAATTTACCTGGTCTAAAAATAAATTCATGCTATGTCTTGGGAAGGGCGCCTTGAGAAAAGTTTAGTTCAAAAATGTTGCCGTGAGCTAAAAAAGTTTGGGAACCGCTGGTATAATGAATAAGAAGTATGCTCCATGATAAGACTGTGCATAATTTTTTTATTACCATTGATATGTTTATAATGTGTCTTAAACCTAGACTGACATACCGTTTCCGCCCAGAATCGTTTTTCTCATACAATGATATTATATGTATATCATTGAATTCAAATTTAATACCATCCATTATACAGTGACATAATTTTAACCTACTGTACAGCAGAGCAACTTTTTTTTGTATACAGCTAGGTATGCAATATAATATAATTAATTAAAATAAAATAATATTTTATAAGCAATTATATAATATAATTTTATTTTGTTTTATTTTTTATTTTTTATTTTTATTTTTGTGTCAGTGTACACGATAAGTAGTCGAATTAATGCTTCGATTTTCAATTTCAGTATTTTGTTCGATTTTAAAGTGAATATCGTTGGTGCATTGGGGAGGTTAAAATATCAATAAAATGTTATTTGTTGGTTAAAAAAGGCTTGAGAATTTAATACAAGGCCATTACTATATTGTTTCAAAGGCAGATGAAAAATATTAAAAATCCTTAGTCAATTTTTTTTTTTATAAGCATTCAAAGTCCAAAAATTGACAAAATATGGAAAAATCACGAAACTCATTAAATTTTTTTGAGTTAAGGATTCGTAAAAATTTTTCTTTTTATATCTAAGATTTTAAAATATGATACAAGATTCCTAATAAGATTATCTACCTTTATCAAGAAATAAATGTCTATAAGAAAGTCAAATTTAATTTTTATGAGCGTTTGAAATTCATATTATTACAACATTTGATATTCACTCGATTTCTCATGTAACGATTTTCTTATTTTATTGTAATTAAAAATTAAATGACTGTAGATACATGAAAATTTCACTAAGTGTTTATATTAGCATTTCCTATACACCATACAATTTTGAAAATATATTGACTCTTTTTGAGCTGTTTACGGATATTTTCAGTTTTCAATTATTTTAGTTTTTTTTTCTATAAATATCAATAAAGTTTTATCGGTTGGGCCAAATAGTGTAAAAATTTAACACAAGGCTCCTGCTATATTGTTACGATATCAGTTGAAAAATATTAAAAGTACATATGCACAATTTTTTTTTATAATCATTTAAAGATCGAATTTTGACAAAATTTATCAAATTTAAAATTGAATAATTATTTTGTAGTTAATAATTTATAAAACGTTCAACTTTTATAGCTAAGGATTGAAAGTTTAAAACAAGATTCCACATAAGTAGTTGATTCTGTTACATAAAAATCTAAAATATATATACTCGCAGTTTATTTTTATAGTCATTTCAAGTTCAAATTTGGTTGAAATTACATAAAAAAAACCTAGAATAACTATTTTAGTTATTTTGTTGTGAATTGTGATTGTATAATTTTATTCATGGGTACTTGAAATTTCTAAATTACACTATTATATATGTATGACAGTATCACAGTGTGTTATTGAAACGCGTTAAAATGATATTGTGATATGATTAATTTGGAATTTATTATAGGTCAATTTTTTTTAATACCATAGATAAGTATATATAATATGCCTTATACCTAGACTGACATATCGTCTCCACTCAGAATCGTTTTTCTTATACAATGATATTATATCATTGAATTCAAATTTAATACTATCCATTATACAGTGACCCACTTGTAACCTACTGTACAGCAGAGCAGCTTTTTTTTGTATACAGCTAGGTATGCAAAATATAATAATAAATTAAAATAAAATAAAATTTTATCAGCATCTACTACTATATTGTCAACATAGGCAGATTGAAACTCAATAGACTCAATAGACGTTATATTAAAGTTAGTTTGACTATTATTTGATTGATACTTATTAATAACTGGCGATGATTCATCAAAGTTAAGTTCTCTTGGATGATTCACCTAAATTTAATACATATATATAATATAACGTAAAAAAAAAATTTTAATATTAACTTAACTTTAAATTACACTCAGGGGCGGACAGGCTCCTCCAGAGCGGCCCGGGAATTTTTTTTCAAGCTGCATTGCAAACCATTGTTTAAGGTCTTTTTTTTTGTGACATCGACGACGGTGCCGGAACTGTTTAAGCAATTATATTGACATATTGTCGAAGGTCTAATATTATACACTATTACAGTGTAACTAAAATTAAAATTATTATTATATTAAAATTAATTTTTTTTTATAAATATATTTATTAAACGGTAAATAAATTGAACGTTTTAAAAATCGATCAAGTTCATTAAAAATATAAACGTCGTTCACGTGCACGTTCTATTTGAAAAAAACGAGTGACGTTCACTATAGTAGGTATATGAACGTGAATGCGTTCATGAACGACATTCTTTCCAATTTCCAAACACTGATATCTTTTTATATAGTTATTTCTAATAATTAATTAATGATAATTAAGTACACATAAAATAGGGTGAATAGAAACAAATGCAAATGTAAATTTGGGCGATTGTAAACTCCGCCAGAATATCGGTCAAGATAAAAAGGTAATAATAGGTCTATGGTAAACTCCGCCAGTTTTTTTTTTTACCTGGTCAGTTAACTTCAGTTAACTTCAGTTCCAACTTCGCGATCTGAAGTTATTTCTTCGCTTATTCAGATGGCACCAAAAACGTTCAGAGATGAAAGTTTTTTAAATCGAACAACAAATGCCTGTGAATCCTTTCATAGTCATCTGAGAAATTGATTTTATAAAAGTCATCCGAATGTTCACATTTTTCGTAAAGTTCTTATCGAATTTCAAACCCAAACTTATATTAAACTAAATGGCATATCTCAAGTAGATCAGATAAAAAATTCGAAATCAAAAAAAAAAATGACAGTATTACAGGATGCTATGAATAGGTATACTAATAAAGAAATACAAGACTTAGAATATTTGCAAATTGTATCTCATCATTATAGTTTTCATACATGACAATATTTATAACGATTATTTATTAATTATTTATTATATGTTATTATATTATGTGGACGATTATTTATTTATTGTTTTTTGACTATGATTTATGTATATTTAATGTTGACAATTATTAATTATTATTATGAAAAATATGATTTTGGATTATTTATTATGATTTTTTATACTATGATTTAAATATTGATATGATATGATATGATATTATATTATAATTTTTTTTTAATAATATATCATATTAATTTTATACTACTATTTGATTTTCTTCACTGGCGGAGTTTACATAAACTAAATTTTACCTGATATTTTTCAGTGGCGGAGTTTACATGAACCCAATTTTACCTGTTTTTTTTTTCTGGCGGAGTTCACAGTAAAAAAAGGTACCTACTTGTGGCGGAGTTTACATGCGCCCGTAAATTTATACAACTCTGATGTCCCCCCCCCCCCTATGTGCTATCAATAGGTATATTTCTATTATATTATTAATTGTCAACAGGGTTGGGCAGTATCTTCGATACAAGTATCTAAGATACGTATCTTAGATACATTTGTATCTTGTATCTTGTATCTCGATACAATTATGTGAAGTATCGAGTATCTTGTATAGCGATACATTTTTAGTCAATGTATCGAGTATTTCATGAATTAATTTAATCGAAAGATACTCGATACATTAATGCGATACTTTGAAAAATTAATTGTTTACGAATATTTTTACTCGTCAGAAACCACTTTTGAAAAGTTAGTGGTGTAATGGTTGTTCATAAAATATAATATTATGTTACACACGTACTTTGAATTGGACTTTACTTCTGTAAGACTGTACCTTATTTTTCTACTATGTAATAGTGCCTACCCCTTTCGCATTGTAATCGTATTGTGGTTATCGTAGACGATAACAAGATTACGTAATGTCGTAATTGATTTATTTTATTTTGTTTTATTACGAATGTATTATTATTACTGAAAGTGTCAATGATTTTTATTTTATTTTTCATTCTAATTACTTAATGAAGTGGCCATACCCACAATAATAAACATAATTTTTAAAAATCCAGTGACTAATTTTATTAAAATGTATTGAGTATCGAGTATCGAGTATCTTGTATCGCGATAGTTCAAAGCCAAGTATCGAGTATCTAGTATCTCGATACTCCAAATCCAAGTATCTAGTATCTACTATCTCGATACTGATTTTTGAGTATCTTGCCCATCCCTGATTGTCAACCAGTAGGTACAAAATTATATTTTCCTTCTGTACAAAGCTATACAAAGCTATACTATACAAAGCTATCATACTACTATCATATATTATAATTAAGCTATCATAATTGGTTATACTCTTTATAGTGTTCAATAAAATAGTATTGAACATATTTTACTATTTATAGTGTTTAGTTATCCATAATTTTAAAAAAAACACTTAAGAGTAAAAAATATTTGAAATTTCCTATATAAACTTTAAAGTTTTTAACTTTTTATTTCTAAAGAACCTCCATATATTATATAACTCAATAGTAATTTATCATTTAAATAAAATTATAATTAATATACATAAATTATAATTGAATATTATAAATAACAAAATTTAGAGTTAAATTATTAATAATCTAAAAATGGTACATTCGGATGCAAAGCCTTGGTTTTTATCAACATTTTTATTCAAATACTATAGAAAAATATAAAATATGTGGTCTTGCAGAAACTTAAGCATATGAATTAAGAAGAATTAAAATTAAAAACATGACAAAACATTATTCTGAAAATTAGGATAATTTATGAGAAATCATGAGAAATCGAGTGAATATATAACGTTGTAAAAATTTGAATTTCAAACGCTCATAAAAATTTAATTTGACTTTCTTATAGACATTTTTTTTTTTTTTGATAAAGGTAGATAATCTTATAAGGAATTTTGTATTACATTTTAAAACCTAAGATTTAAAAAGCAAAATTTTTAAGAATTCTTAACTCAAAATAATTTGCTAAATTTCGTGATTTTTCCATATTTTGTCAATTTTTAAACTTTAAATGCTTATAAAAAAAAAACTGTGATTAAGGATTTTTAATATTTTTCAAATGCCATTGTAACAATATATTAGGAGCCTTGTATTAAATTTTCAAGCTTTTTTAACCAACAAATAAAATTTTATTGATATTTTTAGAAAAAAAAACTAAAAAAAATGGAAAATGAAAATGAAAATGTGCCTAAACAGTTCAAAATAAAGGTACAATGGTACGGTATGATGAATAGCAAAGTGATTAACCTACTAAATGGGTATGCAATATGTGCTTCAAATTCTTATTGTATTAATAAGCCACTCTAAGCATTTAGCCAATTGCAGTGGTCAATCTAACCATGCTACACCCCCCCCCCCCCAAACTAATAATAAAGCTAACAATAAAGTTTAAAATAATTGATTAAATTCATAACATAATTCAATGTTAAATATATAGATTCAATTCACAAATTACTATGATTTATTCAGAATTAAACAGCTGCAGGCTGTAAGGAATAATCCAAAAAATAATATCTAATATGAAGTTAAAAAAAATTCGAATAAATTAAAATTAAATCAATCAAATGTTATCAAATGGATTTTGCTTCTCGGGTTTGTTGATATCTTCATTTCGATGTTCCGATATTAATTTGGGTTCTGCGTTTTCATCATCATATTGTTCAGATTCTAGGCTGCTGGAAGAGTTTTCATGTGATTCCAAGTGTTTTTTTAATGTTACACGCCTTGAAAAAACCTTGTTACAATACTGGCATATGTAAGGAGTATCTTCATTTCTGAACAAAATAAAAATAAATTAACTTTTTACATTATGTTTGATAATAATTAATATACAAATAAGACAGAAATATTAATTTTTTGTTAGTTTGAGGATACCCCACATTTATTTAATAATCACATAAAAACGATGGTAATCTAAAGTTCTCATATTTCAAAATTTATGAGTAATTTGTAGTTTATATTCTGAATATTATCATTATGAAAAGTTGGTAGATGTTTGATTTTGGTAAAATGTGTGCAGTAAATATTCGTTTCAAAAAATAATAATTAAAGATACTTAATACTTTATTATTCATCATATCTAACAGTATTTTTTTATTTCAGATTCCTTAACAGATTACAAAGCTTTTAATTTTATTTAAGACCGAAAAAATAAAAAATTTCCAGGAAGTATGTTAAAAAAGGATTATGTTTTAGTAATATTAACTTTCAAATTTAAAGTACCTAAAGAGTTTTCACCACGTTGAGAAATAATTTGTTTGAAAGTAAGTTGGGTTCTAGTGATTATTAGTTAAGGCAGCTTGAAAGTAAATAGTAAATTTTCAACTTTTTGAAGACATTGAAAACTGAACTTTTAACTTTTGAAATCATTATAATTGCAATACTTGTATTGTTATTATTTTGTTTTTTTAGTATATTTGAATATATTAACTTCACACTTGTATAATATAATATACTATGATATTCACCCACACTTCTAAACATTAAAGTCTCTATTGAACGTTGATTAATATAACTGCAATAACACTGATCTTACCTATATTTCATTTTGTGATGGATTTGACCGTATTTCGTCGACATCCGTTTGATCACTGGCTTGGTCGAAATGTAAAAGAATAAATTGACTAGAATCGTACATATGACCGGGACAAATATGAAGGCAATTCCAAACCACACTGAAAAGAAAAAATTTAGTTTTTGGACACAACAACAACTTCTGTAAAGCTTATTATGTTATACTTCTTCTAAGACACCTTGAACATAGTTTTAGATACATACATTAGTTACATGCAGGCTATACAATATGTATATTATTTTTCATCATGTTTTTACTACCTTTTATGTATATTATTCGAGATACGACTTACCTATGGCTCCTTCTATTGATGTGGTCGTAGACGCATGCGACGAATAGCTTCTACTAGTGTTGCTGTCACGTGAGTCCTATATTAGATGTTCGAAAAGTGCCATGACGCCCATGGTTAAAGTGCCACCCCACACGTACGGTGAGTTATAACAGTAGGTATCAATCAAACCAAGCTATAACCACAAAACTAATGGAAAAGCAATAGTTCTGTCTTATTTTTATATTAATTATTATCAAACATAATGTAAAAAGTTAATTTATTTTTATTTTGTTCAGAAATGAAGATACTCCTTACATATGCCAGTATTGTAACAAGGTTTTTTCAAGGCGTGTAACGTTAAAGGGAATCACATGAAAACTCTTCCAGCAGCCTAGAATCTGAACAATCTGATGATGAAAACGCAGAATCCAAATTAATATCGGAACATCGAAATGAAGATATCAACAAACCCGAGGAGCAAAATCCATTTAATAACATTTGATTGATTTAATTTCAATTTATTCGAATTTTTTTTAACTTTATATTAGATATTATTTTTTGGATTATTCCTTACAGCCTGCAGTTGTTTAATTCTGAATAAATCATAGTAATTTGTGAATTGAATCTATATATTTAACTTTGAATTATGTTATGAATTTAATCAATTATTTTAAACTTTATTGTTAGCTTTATTATTAGTTTGGGGGGGGGGGGGGGTGTAGCATGGTTAGATTGACCACTGCAATTGGCTAAATGCTTAGAGTGGCTTATTAATACACTAAGCATTTGAGACACATTTTTCATACCCAAATAGTAGGTTAATCACTTTGCTATTCATCATACCGTACCATTGTACTCGGACAAAATAATATTTCTGTAGTTTGGGACTCTGATCTTTCTTCGTTTAAGTGACTTTCAGTTCACAAATGGATTTTCGACATCTTTAAAGTATAGGAATCCTGTTGACAAAAGTTAAAACATTAAAGTATTTAGAATAAAATATTAGCTCAAAATCAATATTTTAATGGATAATGTACAGAGACCAATTTACTTATTTACTGATACTGTTTCAGCATGCCAAAACTGAAGACAATATAATTTTACAGCAACCAGTACAGGGCCGGACTGAGTAATTTTTAGAGGTATTCCTAAAATATAATCCTACAATTCCGTCCTCATCACCAGTTGAGGGGTTATTAAGTAAGGCAATACAAGTATTAATACCTAGGCGTAATAGGTAAAATGTTAGTATTTTAAAAATAATTTTATGCTGTAAATCAAACATGGTTTGAATATTATTATTATTTTAAAAGCATTTATTATTATTTTTTTCTTTTAAATGTTAGATAGTAGCTTCTTTGTATTATTATTGAATTAAGTCAGAGAATGACTTTTCATATTATGTATTTAAAAAATAAACTATTTTATTTTGAATGTTTTAAATTAGGTATTTTTTTAAAAATTAATACTCATTTCACTGAATATTTGCAAAATTAAACATGAAATTATCTGAAATTTATCTAGATAAAAATGTATTAATTTTTAGCTTATATCTAGATAAAAGTTAGTATAATTATTTTTAATCTTTATCTAGATACAATTTAGGGTACTGTTACATTTATCTTTATCTAATAAATTATTAGTGTTCTATTCCAAACATTATACATTAGGCGTTTAGGTGTATTGTAGCGACGATACGATTAGTGCACTACTCCCGACCACTGGAAATGAGAATTCAACGTATCTAGTATAAAGTATTTACCAATATCACAGGCGTTACAATATTATTAACAACTGCAGTTTAGTTCCCCCCCCCCCGCCATTTTGATTTTTTTTTTTTATCAAAACTTACCTATGTAACTCATCGAGTTATGAACGATGGCGCAACCCGAATCATTCGTCACTCACACTTATTTCGAAGTCCTGGCCTTCCAAAGTTTTCGATTTTACGTTTATTCGCATGCCCGCAACACTTCTATATACCTATGCGCGGAGGATCATTTTTGTTACACCGGGTCGGGGTCTGTCGATCGCCGAGCTCTCTCGGACAGTAAAAAACGAAAATATCATTATAGTAGCTGGTAGTGTTGCGGGCATGCGTATAAACGTAAAACCGATTACTTTGGAAAATGGAAGGTCATAATTTCGAAACCAAGTGTGAGCGACCAATTCTGATTGCACCGCCGTTTTGGACTCGACGAGTTACACAAGTTTCGATAAAAATTAAATTCAAAATGGCGAAGGCGAACTAGACCGCAATTACACCCAATAGTATATCATATTATTTAATTATTTCAAGTACTCACAATAAACGAACGGCTTCGTAGTTCGCAACCGCCCGTACGTTTTGAGAAGTATTCGAACGTCAGATCAGACGGTCTGTGCTCCGAATTCTTCAGACGCTACGATTAGTGCACTACTCCCGACCACTGGAAATGAGAATTCAACGTATCTACTATAAAGTATTTACCAATATCACAGGCGTTACAATATTATTAACAACTACAGTTTAGTTCCCCCCCCCCGCCATTTTGATTTTTTTTTTATCAAAATTTACCTATGTAACTCATCGAGTAATGGACGATGGCGCAACCCGAATCATTCGTCACTCACACTTATTACGAAGTCCTGGCCTTCCAAAGTTTTCGATTTTACGTTTATTCGCATGCCCGCAACACTTCTATATACCTATGCGCGGAGGAAAATTTTTGTTACACCGGGTCGGGGTCTGTCGATCGCCGAGCTCTCTCGGACAGTAAAAAACGAAAATATCATTATAGTAGCTGGTAGTGTTGCGGGCATGCGTATAAACGTAAAACCGATTACTTTGGAAGGTCATAATTTCGAAACCAAGTGTGAGCGACCAATTCTGATTGCACCGCCGTTTTGGACTCGATGAGTTACACAAGTTTCGATAAAAATTAAATTCAAAATGGCGAAGGCGAACTAGACCGCAATTACACCCAATAGTATATCATATTATTTAATTATTTCAAGTACTCACAATAAACAAACGGCTTCGTAGTTCGCAACCGCCCGTACGTTTTGAGAAGTATTCGAACGTCAGATCAGACGGTCTGTGCTCCGAATTATTCAGACGTCTCGACCAAACCAAGGCTCCGGCTTTACGGTCTACATCGCGCTATGCGACCATTTTGCGACTGTTCTGTCGACGAATAAACGAAATAGTAAAGGGCGGAAATGGCGATGCCAAAACAATATCCAAGTGTTGGCATATGTGGTCACACTGATTCATGCGGGAACCAATCGGAGCGCCGTATTCATTTCTTGCGTGCACGATCTCGAAATTCGCTTCGCCGGCGGGAAGTTTGAAGTGTTTGGGCGGTAAACCGTGAACGAAAAAAATCCCCGAAAAAAAACGTCCTCGCGAATAAAATCTAACGAAAACGAAAAATTGTACCTACAACTACATAGAGTAATTTTATTACTCTATGATCAATTGTTAATTTTTTTTTTAGTTTCTGAGTGAAACGATGAATGTATTGATTTTACAATGATGTGTGTTTTTTTATTTTTTTTTTTTGTGTCTGTGTACACGATAAGTAGTCGAAATAATGCTTCGATTTTCGACTTCAGTATCTTGTTCGATTGGAAAGTGAATATCGTTGGTGTATTGGGGAGGTCAAAATTTAAAATTCCCAATAGTTTTCACAAACGCCGGGAACAACAACATAAAAATTAAGGAAAAACGGGAATTTTTACGCAAAATCGGTTTTTGCCAAAATCGAATTTGGTTTTTGGTGTAACTTTAAAACAAATGACTGTAGGAACATGAAATTTTGACTGGTTGTTTATATTTGCCTTTTCTATACACGATAACATTTTCAAAATATTTTGATTTATTTTGAACTGTTTAGGGACATTTTCATTTTTCATTTTTTTTTAGTTTTTTTTCTAAAAATATCAATAAAATTTTATTTGTTGGTTGCGAAAGCTTGAAAATTAAATAGAAGGCTCCTCATATATCGTTTCAAAGGCAGATGAAAAATATTAAAAATCGTTAGTCACAGTTTTTTTTTATAAGCATTTAAAGTTAAAAAATTGACAAAATATGGAAAAATCACGAAAATTAGCAAATTATTTTGAGTTAAGAATTCGTAAAAATTTTTCTTTTTAAATCTAAGATTTGAAAATGTAATACAAGATTACTCATAAGTTTGTCTACCTTTATCAATAAAAAAATCTCTACCGGACAAACAAATTAAATTTTTATGATCGTTTGAAATTCAAATTTTTACAACATTGGATGTTCACTCGATTTCTCGTGTACGTAGAGGTTAGTTTATTGTTATTTAAAAGCGAATAACAGTAGATACATGAAAATTTTATTGAATGTTCATATTTTCATTTTCTATACATCATAAAATTGCGAGAGCCCTCCGCACCGCTACGATTGACCCGCACGGACGCCACACACACTAATCATCATTTACGACTAACACATAGATCTCGGGTGGCGACGACGAGATTAGAAATTGCCTAAATGATTCTCCTTAAATCAATGCCATTGCGAGGCCCCTTAAGAGCAACGCACCTAAATCGTTTGACATGGGCTCGATTAAATATTAAATAAGTAATGACAGCATTGTCCCTGGGAATTAGTGAGCGATAACCATTGATACTAGCGTTAATGCGTGATAAATATGCCCAATCCAACCTGATCACGAGGTCTGTGGATCGTAGTCAATAATAAAAGTTTTTTTGCCCTTTTTT